GACGACAGAATACAGCTACTTGCAATGAGCCTGGTCTACAAGATCCACTACACCTCTATGGTACCCATGTACATGTCAAAATTCTTCCCAAAGGTCAAGGAATACCATGATCATAACACCAAAGGGAGCTCCATTATCATGTAAAACCCAGATTTGGCACAAAAAAAGGGGAATACACGTTTCGCAATTATGCCACATCAAGGTGGAACGCTCTTCCCACTACTGTAAAGGAAAGTAAAACTATACTTACCTTCAAAACCTCTCTTAAAGAGCACCTTCGGGGGAGAGCATTGCAAAACTGACTCCGGTAATGGTACAAATCTCAACCTGTGTACCATGGACAGCTTCCCCCCCCATCTATGTATATACTCGCATTTTAGACTCTGTTACTAACTGTATATCTGTAGACTTGGTATGTCTTAAATGTCCGGTTAGGATGTATTAGAACGAAATCTAAAATGAAATTTGTAAATAAGCCATCTGTATGTAAAAAACCACCTGTATGTAAATTGTAAATAAGCCATCTGTATGTCAAATATGTCTTGTATGTCTTAAATGATATGATGAATTGGAAATGGGGGACCCTGATGTAAACAAGACGAAAGTCTTTTTCTGGTCTGCATCCCCTTAACAATTGTATGTTTTGAGCTGTACTGTACCCAATATACAAGCTGTTAATAAACTTTTCAATCAATCAATCAATCAATCAATCAATCAATCAATGTATACTGTACCCAATATACAAGCTGTTAATAAACTTTTCAATCAATCAATCAATCAAACAAACCTCACAGCTGTTCTCACTGTAAACATCGCGTCGCGATGGAAGCAGTTACTAAAATAATATCCAGGGGATGCATGCAGAGCTATCATGGGCTGAGATAAGTCCGGCCGTGCGTCAATTGCCTCAACCGTTCCCGGAAATGCATCCGCGGAGGAGCCGTGGAGGATGCATCAGTGTATCCTCGGTTATAGCTCCTCCAGAGAGCCTCCTCAATGCTCGATCCTCGGTCCTCGAATGGGATTTAGAGAAATTAGATTTCCTTCAACATGGCGCGCTGAAATTCATTTCACCGGAGGAACGAGGAGTCGAGGAGGGGAAATTTAAGAATTGAGAAGCCTCTAATGTCTTTGAATCAATTATGGACAGGGTCATATATTCCTGCAGTTGGGACAAATAGTCAGTGGCTCTTGGTCAGAGGTCAAACATTGTTTAAAGATTATGTGTACATTAATTTATGCTTTTGGTTCATTGATTGAACTCAGCAACATGTAACATTGCCGAGTTCACAATATGTAAATGTTTACTTTTGCTCAGTTGACCTAAAAAGATTAAAAAGGACTTTGAGCATAGCCAAAGACAAACTATGTTATTATTGGGTGCTTAACCCCGGACCCACATTTAAAACCGGTACTTTGACCTCAGTATATTGTCAAAGTGTTTCTAAAAACAAAAAAACACCATAAAAGGCGATATGAGTCTATCAATGTTTTTAAATGAAAACATTGAAGGTTAATTATCTTTTTACAGTGTGTTGCCACCTTTGGGACATACAGGGAAAGACAGAACATCTGCAGGGTCAGGCAGCTAAATGCAAAGCCAAGTCAAAGGACTGTAAAAGCAGCAGTTGTTTATTTGGGTTTAGCGCCATCTGCTGGCAAACCTTCAAACTTCCAGTGAGACACTAGATTTAATATGGTCAAATATCTTTGTGTAGAAACATACTATATAGCTCCCCGAGACACAGACTTCTGTAAAACATATTCCAGTCAAACATGGGCATCAAGTTGGCTCTGTGTAAACTGAATAATAAAAGCACAGAAACTTTCAACAATCAATTTTTTATTGTTTTCGTTATAAGCACAACAGTATCCACAGTTTAAGTCAAGCACATTATGTAAAGGAATAACAACAGTAGGAGCAGTGCACATTTCCTAAAGATGCGGCAGCTAGATAAGTGCAAGGCGCAGAGTGGTGACAAATCTCAGTCTCAGATGTCTTTCAGGAGGTCCTGTCCTGGGCTCTCCAGCCAGGTCGGAGGCCAGGAGGTTTTGATGCTGGATCGGTCCTTCAGAGAGTTATAGTAAGCTGCCAGTTTTGGGTAACGCTCTTCACAAAACCTAAAGAAGGAATACAAGATGGTGTTAACTTCAAATTACAGATGTTTTCTCTTTGTATGGTATACTTGGTTATCCATGCATTCATATTGTCAAGCAGTTTTAAGTCATTTTCAGTGATTTAATGCACATACCCAAAGCGGTAGAGATAAGCGATGCTTGGAAAAACCATCACATCCGCCAGTGAAAAGTTCTTTCCTGCCACAAAAGGGCCTGATGCCTAGAAAACAAATTTAAAAAAGGAGTTAGGGAAAGATTCATGTGCTGAAGGGCAGATCTGATACTGATACTCATGAAAGCTGCCAAAATGGGCTACCTATTTGATCCAATTACCCTTAGGCTACAATTCTCTATGCTATGAAGCTAACAACAACAAACAGCTAGCCTGGCTCTATCCACAGGCACCTAAATGTAACAACCAGCGTCTCTAAAGCTTACCTATTAGCATGTATAATCAGTAAAGTTATAGCAAGAAGATTTAGGGTTACTGGTGGGTGCTTGACTATTAATTTACTAGAAGCAGTGACTTCCTGGTTGCCTGTCTATTTTAAATTAATAGTCAAGCACCCACCAGTAACCCTAAATCTTCTTGCTATAACTTTACTGATTATACNCCTTGGTGTTGTTTACATTCTGTGATGCGCGAGCTGATGACGTCACGTCAAGACGAGTTAACTTTTTTTTCTTCTCAACTTTGTGTGGAAAAATGCGGGGATTATGCGGCCTTTTGATAAATATGCGGCTTTTTAAAAATCTGCGCCATTTGGCTGATTATGCGGTAAATTCTGCGATCGCAGAATCGCGTTTTTCTGGAGGGTCTAGTTGATTCATCCATTTAAAGTTTGTCTTCCCCCCTCCCTTGTGTGTTTTGCTTTAAACAAAGTTCTATTTTCCAGACATCAAAGGGATCTTCGTGCACCCCTTCCTGGCTGAGAGGATCATCTCCATGCTGAATTATTTTCTGCAGCACTTAGTGGGCCCTAAGATGGGGGCCCTTAAAGTCAAGGACTTCAGTGAGTTTGACTTCAAGCCCCAGCAGCTTGTTTCTGACATCTGCACCATCTACCTGAATCTGGGGTATGTAGGAAACACTGAACATATTCTCTTGTGCTATATCCTCTGAAGAAGAAATACAGTGGGACATTGCTGAGTGTGATCATTATTGTGATCCAATTAATATGTAAATACCATTTTTTGTTTCTGTCTTTGGCAGGGATGAGGAGAATTTCTGTGCTACAGTCCCAAAGGATGGACGATCGTACTCTGCCGCCCTCTTCTCCCAAACAGTGAGGGTGCTGAAGAAGATAAACAAGCCTGGGGACATGATCGTGGCGTTTGGACTCCTTGCTGATAAAATAAAGGTATCTTTTGTCTTGCAGGGTTCCCCCAGATCCTGGAAAAACTATTGCCCAATTCCCAGTCATTGAAAACGTCCAGGAAAATTATTTCAAAATTCTCCTATTTTTAGCTTATGATTTATGAATGAATACCAAGGGCTACAAAGCCATAATATTTCCATCTTAATGGTCTAGGTTATGTTCAGGATCATATAAGATTCAAATTCTAGTTTATGGACAGGAACATTTTGAATAGGGTACTCTCAGTTGTTATGGAAACGCTGTGAACACTTCCTCAAGTCAAGTCATGCAGGTTGGATGACATTACAAGACGTGCTTTCTTTCTAACTTGTTTTAAACTTTTAAATTGTTAAGCATGTACAGTACGGTTCAGTTGTTTAGTTTAGCTGCTTGCTCCTTGTTTAGTATGCAATAGTTTTAGTTTGGTCATTAATCTCTGGCTGGGAGAATTGGTTTCAAATGTGGGTCAGGCCTCGGTCAAAACAATGAATTTGACGTCCACAGACAGGAACAGGTTAGTGTATGGCGTGTTCAGTGTCACAGCATCACTGCAAGTGGCCTGGAAAATAATGTCTAGAATTGGGAACCCAGACTTAGAAGCTTTTTTAGGAATCTTTGCCCTGTTCTCTGTGGTAAAGAGAGGTTACAACACACAAAGGATTCATTGTCATTGCACCTCTCCTTTAGCCCCATGCAGACAGACAGCAGCAGGAAGAGGAGACGTATGCAGATGCCCCGGATGAGTTCCTGGATCCCATCATGTCCACTCTGATGCTCGACCCGGTCCTCCTCCCTTCCTCCAGTGTCACAGTTGACCGCTCAACTATAGCAAGGCATCTCCTCAGGTAGGGTACTTCCTAAAAGCGCAAGAGCTACCTGAAATAATTGTCTTTATTTGTCTTTCTGCATGCAGCAAAATTGGTACTGTACATCTTGTCTTTATTGTAATCTGATGACTTTTAACCGTCACAATAGACTTGAAGGGAAAGCTTGGTGCACAGAAGTAGCCACTAATTTATACACATATGTCTTCCTCGTAGTGACCAGACAGACCCTTTCAACCGCAGTCCTCTGACCATGGACCAGATCAGGCCAAACGAGGAACTCAAGCAGCAGATCTTACAGTGGCTGGATAAGCATAAGCTGGAGAGGCAGCAGCTGGGACCCAGTGGCTAGCCGCGAATCCTCGCTGTGACAAACAATGAATGCATCCCGGGTTTCTTTCACAGCTTACATCTAGCGTGCTCCTCTGCTTCTTGTCTAATCCATGGTGTGCTTGCCTCTGTGGATTTCTTCAGACTAACATTGCATTAGCTTTTACATGCAGCCTTCACGCTCCGTGGATTCCCTCTGTGAAAAACTGTCCAGGCAAAACTGTAGCCCACAGGCTGGTGACGACTTCAAAATCCATACCAACCCACGCAGTAGCTGTTTGAGTCCCATGATGCCCCGTGGTACCATGATGCACCCGCTGGTCTCTCTCCCTGAATACTGTGTATTAATTAGCTCATTATTACAATCAGAACTGTGGCCAGAAGCATCAGTTTCAACAGGACTTGTTGAATGTACTGAATGAACTCCTGACTGACCAGTCGGCCTAAACCAGATGTTATACTGCAAGGTGAGTATTTTGGGGAACTGTTAAAGCAGAACATGGAAGAAATGGTTAGGATTTAACTTCATGAAAGTGAAAACACTGCCTCTTAAAGTTCTTGAACACCCAACGTTTCAGCATATTAGGTTACGTCTCAAGCAGAATTGTAAATAAAATTAGCAATTAAAGGCAACAGCAAAGGTAAAACTGAAGTTTATGTGTGTGACTTTTATTTTAGTGGAGATAATCTAAATTTAGATGGAGATGTTTAAATTAATTGTCTCTATTATAAGCATACTGAAGCACAAAACCATACAGAATATACTTTTTCTGTATTTTAACCTTTATATCTAAGTGTCTTTGCATCTTCAAGTCCACCTGCCTTTAATTAAGTAGTAATGACAGATCTCATTAGGGTCTGAGAGCTTGCTTACTAATAGGTTGTTGGATAAGGATTTAAACTGTGTTTAACTTAGTACTCAGTAATAACACTAATCTAAAACCTATTTTCTATTGGGGGCCAGTCTAAACTAAAATCTCATACTAAAATCAGTTAATGGTTGAGCATGGCATTGGTAGCCTTGCTAGGTATGCTCAAAGTGGTTACAAATGAATACTAATTAACAGTGGTGTGATGGCCACCCAAAACAAACATGTGTTTAGTCCTTGGAAAATAGATTTTTACTCACAACTTGTAATAAAAAATGTCTCAGACTTTAAAAAAAACTCCTTTCAGAGCAAGAGTAGACATAATACAATTCATTTCACTGAGTACTTTTTATGACATTAAACTCTTCCTCGTGTAAAATCTCTGAAGTGCCACTTTGAGACACACAGCAGTTATCAGGGCCACACAATAACTGCTCTTGGCACAAAAAGCAGTCGCAGAAACATGATAAAAATACATCGAGAAATAGTTTTTAAAAAATTGAGACACGGCAAGTCTCAACATTTGCTGATCTTGCTTCACAGGGGGCGAAACATACATTTATGAAATGTTATTTGGCTAGTTTATCATAAAAATGTTTAAAGATCACAATATTTTATAAATAAACTCATAAGCCTTAATTTTGTTGATTTTAAGGTCTTTACAATGATCACATTTTTGGATCAAAACATAATAGAAAAGCTCAATTTTAGGGTGTTCAATAATTTTTGACTGGCAGTGTATTTATTAATAATTTTCACTCTTTGATCAAACATTCACCGGATTAACTGATGTATCCTGATCTTACATTTTGAACTAATTTACTGATTTATTTTAGCATTTGGCCAAACAAATGATCAATGGGTCCAGAACAGATCGGTGCCTAAAACCAAGAGCCTTGCAGTTAATGTCAGTGAATGAGGATCTGACTTATTTCATACTAAAGAGAAATAATGATGAGTTTGTTTCTTTTGGGCGTTACAGGGAGCTATGGGTAGAATATAAGAGAAGGATCAGAATAAGATGACTCTTTTTTTTTAAGTAGCTTTTTCAATCAAAGAGTTTTAATTCAAAATCGAGTGTGGTTGTAAGAAATGGCAAAAAGTGAGAGATGATGTATTAGTTGGCATGCCCTCATACTGTATGTTGAATATCTACCACCTGAATGATTACATGGGTTAAATTATAATGCAATATTTTTGTTTTAATTGTGATTATAAAATGTTTATTTTGGATGTACATTATGATTAATAAATAAAACTAATGTGCGTTATATAACACATTGTAATGTTCTCCTTCAGATATATTATGACAGCGTTAAGTACATTCCAACATGTAAAATGTGTGTTTTGCTATTGGACCACCACAAATAGGGAATGTACAACAAATAAATAGAAGTTTAACTCAAAAGACTACTTTAAATAGATTATAGTATATTATGTAAATGCCGCATGTTTAAGAACAAGCTTGAGGTACATTTATCTCAAGGACAATATGAATATGAGAATATTTTATTTTCCTTCAATAACTGGGTCTCAGGTTTGAGGGTCCTTAACATTCTTTATAATGTCTCCAGGCTATTTCCAAACAGCTTGTGACTATATGTCAGGAAATGTAAGCAGGTAGGTGTGAAATTTTTGAGAGCCAGAACCCCCCTTGTTCTCTATGTACTAACAATTCTCACATCTTTAAGAGCTCAAACTAATTCTTTTTGAGACACTCAAGCTCCTAATAGTACTTGGAGCTGCTCCTGGTTGTAACTTGCACATGTAGTTAACATCATAAACTTTAACATTTAACCTAACAATCCCTATTAATGAGAGTCGAGAAGCACTTTCAGCTTGTAGGTATTGCACATTTGTTATTGGATTGTCCACTCGATACAGTCCACTTTTGATTGGAAATCAAAAAATTAAAAAGCTTTAGGTGGCATTTCCCGATGCATACAGAAGATCACTCAAGCTAAAGCTCCTCAAGTGCTCGTTGTATGTTTGTGACTATATTATTCCCACCGTTTAGTCCTTGCTGAGGAATTTCATGTACAAATGTATGTGATTATTTATATTGAAAAATGTAATGACCCTAACTAAGCTTACGAGAGGGACCCAGTAGCCTATATGTCTTTAACGGGTGTGTCACTGTGGATGTGTAATCTGCAATGATTTGTATCTCTGTGTTGTTTTTATTATCCATTTTATACTGATATTGAGCTATAGGCTATGTCAGAAATTAAGTTCAATTGAATTAGGACTTTGTGAAGGATCACACCTGATGAGAGGCTGACCATGCCCAAAAACCTTACAGCTGGCAGGTGGCTGCATACCAAGGACAGGGTACAGAACTTTTCTAGCTTCAAACATTTCAGAGCAGTTTTAAAAGAGAGAAAACATTTATTCCAAAAAAAATACCAAGTATTGTGGGAACAGAGCAACACTCTTCAATGGGATGAAGGATGTATTGCAACGCCCCTGATTGATTACAGATAACTATTATAATGAATATAGGCTACTATTGTTTTATTCTGTTGTGGTTTGTATTGAAGTTTGTCTGAAGCTTATGAAAGTCTTTTTTAATGTCCTTGTTTAGGAAACAAAATAGTAAGCCAACGGTCTTGTTCTTGCTTGCGATTCAAGCGCGAGGCTCCTTTCCCGGGCAAAGCCCCTGAACCTGATTTGGATTCAGCCATGCAGAGTCTGAACAGGGCCGCTGAGAAAATGCATTGTCGGGGTTACTTCAGTTCCGCCCCGCAACCTGCATAACGACGTGTCGGCCAGTGAGAGCGCAGCGCTGTGGTAGAGGTTGTTTATGTGGAGTGCTGGGTTAGGGTTCCGCCCACCGAGGTATCTCTGATCGCAGGGCAGACAGGCAGAGAGTGTAAAATGGCGCACAGCTGTCGGTGGCGGTTCCCCGCTCGGCCCGGAGGGAGCTGCAACTCCGGTACCGGGAGGAGAGCGGGCCGAATTAGGGTTACTGCCTCTCTGCGAAATGTCTCTGGAGCCCACCCTATCGCAGCTGGGCTCGGACCCGGGTTTGATGCTGCACTACAGGTCTCTTCGGTTATCGGGAGCAACCTGCAGAAATTTCGGGATGTTTTGGGGGAATCGAGTGACTCGAGCAGCGGGGAGGTAAGCACAGCACCGGACAGCATCATTGTAACCCGGGAGCATCGGTTAGACCAATGCCGGCCACGGGTTATACGGAGAGCCCGTTTCAGATGAACAGCTAACGGTTACTCTGCCTAACCGTTTACCATATTTTCCTCCTCATAACGTTAAGTGTGACTGTAAGCAAACTTGTCATTTCCAGGATGCTCAGTTAACTTTGAGTTGGTTGTTTGGCCTTAAACTCTACAGTAAGGCGTTATTACGTTGACTTTGGTTTCAAACAACACAAACACCCAATGTTTCTCAGATTTATAGTCACAACGGTCCTACTGGAAATAAAGTTTTCTTCCCCTCAGAGGAGTGTGAGGACAGGCTACATCCACACAGCTTGTTGGACTGGTGCTAACGTTGGTCTGCTAACCCGACCAAAACACTGTAGAGAAACACTGGTGTAATCTAGTTAATTAAAACATGCAATACAATAAACACCTAACCCTTTATAGGCTATATGTATATGACTAACACACAGTATGCAACTGAGCTGTACAAATGGTGTAATAGTTAGCTTCTTGACATTAGCTTGACGTGAAGCCTTTAAGGCTGAGCATGTTCCCTTCTAATTCATGTACATCAACACAGTCAAAGTTATCATACCGTTCTAGCATTAATATTCTTTTTTACAGTGAAATATGAAATAAACATCGGTGAATATTTGTAATAACGAGGGTTCATTGTGGTGTTATAGCACGGGTCCTTCAAGATAACCTGTAATGTGTTTGAAAACAAGAGATGTCAACTTTAAGGAGGTCCACAATTGGTAACAAGCTAACGTGAATTTAGCGTCTGTCTGCAACCTAATCCCTGAAAGGGTTTTTAATTAACCACTTTACCTGTTAGGGTTTTCATATAGGGCATTTTTGCCCAAAAAAATTCTTAATATTTGCAACAAGACCTCGAATGCTGGCTGTTTGCATTGAGGTGTCAACCTTATAGCGATGCTTGGCTAACATAGCTGATTGGTTAGCTCGCAGGCTAGCTGTCTACTAACAGCTAATACTACACCATTATTATCATGTCGTAAGCGGTGTTAAAGTTGCAGGTTTGCTCGGGAGGTTGTTGTGTTTAACTCCGGTCAGCATTATGCTACGTATCGGGTTAATACACCGTAGCCAAAGTTGGCGAATATCATGCACAAAACTAAATCATTACCATTGCTGTTTGGTGTTAAGCTAGGACAGCTACCATGCTACGCACTCCGCCACGCTAGCCATCGGGGCTATTGCTGATGCATAGGAAAATGGGAGGTGGACATGTTTTCCCCTTCTCTACACAGCCAGTACGGAGCTATTACCAAAATAATATCGGTTTTTATCATGCTTGGAGAAGCCGTCTGATACACAGCCACATCTCAAAATCACTCTCCTCTGTGTTGCAATGCCTTACTAAGAGTGTATCGGCAGGGTTTGGTGTGTGATTCGTCTCGTTTTTATTAGAGAAACGAGACTTTCTAGTGACAGAGCGCATGCAGGGCTGCCTACAATAACAACGAGCCCCTTCTTGACGGGCCGTGTGATGTGGGGGTGTGTTCGCCTTAGCGAACTACCATCTTCCTCTTCCATGATGAGCAGCATGCGTTCATTGCAGTGGGAGTACACTGTGTGGGGATGTTTACCAGTAGCTCCACTGCTCCACAGACGGCTTATTTGGTTGTAGCACAGCAGTGTTTACATGCTTTCTAGTTAGATATTCCGTTTTCTTATTCTGAACTTTAGAAAACGTGTGTGCATATATTTTTGAATAATTATAATGAGAATATAATAAGTCATTTTATAGCTTGGCAGCAGAATATATACATATATTTTGGATGTATTTTATAAAATAGTATTTTACACTATGCATGCAATAGAAACATGATTTATTTGTTATAAAATATAATATATGTGAGCAAATCACTTCTTAGGTAACTATGTCAATAAAGACAATATGTCCGTATTTGGATGTGTGTAGGCAGACTGGACCAATACATCTATGGAACTTGTATTATATGCATGCAGATTGTGGACACAACATGTTGATTTAGTTTACATAAGTTTTTACTTAAAATATCAATTGTGTGTTAAAATAAACTTCTTTGAAAGACTGAAAATGAGTGAGATTAACAGTATTTGGAATGTGTGTACACAAAGACATTACAATCCAGTGCAACTTCAATGATATAAACATTTCAGACACGGCATGTGGATTTGCTTGATTTTTTTACATGCATGTGTGCTTTACATCCCATGATATTTCAGATAAACATTAATGTTACGTGAAACATCACCTGTTTAATGAATTGCTTTTTAAGTTTCCTGCCTTCCCATCCTGCAGTGAATGAGAGTTAAGCAGTATTTTGGATGTAAGGAGACAGACTGGGCCATTGAATCCCCATGGAACCTGAAACCTATGGGAGTTGCAGACACAGCATGGTGATTTTATTGATGGGCAGTGTGGTGTCTGTCTGGCCAGAGCAGAGCAGGATTGTTCAGGCTCACTGCAGCCTGCTGAGCCCACAGGGCTACCCTGAACAGAGCGCCAGCCGGACACTTGGCCACCCCTCCTTCTTCCATGCAGGAAGAAAGACCCAAATCCACTTCAGACAAACGCAACCCCGTCTGAGAGGCAGAGCAACTTTTCTTCTGACAGCTGCCACTTTGGAATGGATTACTAAGCCTATTGGGGTGGCTCAAAGGGGTGCTTGTCGGCTGTAGCTGTCTAAATGAAGGCATTTGTTAGCTTTTGTATGTGTGTAGGGAATTAATTTTCTTGATCCGGCCAAATTGGCGTTGCCTTTTTTTTGGTGCTGCGTGAAGTCCATGTCGATTTTTTTTGTAAATGTGACCTTATCACCCCTACCATCAAAACCTCAACTCCCACTCACTGTCCACCTCATCAGAGTTTGCCTCATTTTCCCTTTTTGTTCTTGGTCCATTAAATCATGCCTTCTGCTGCATGTATTCCAGATTATTACCAATGTTTAATCGCTCATACAAAAGTGCTGCTGAATAGATGTTTAAACCCAATCATCTCTGTGCCTCACTGGTTTGATAGAAATAGTGTGTTTGAGCGGAAGGGGCTTCAGTCCAGCAGGTGTTTGGCCTATTTAAATGGAACCCCCCTCATCCTTTTCCCCCCACCCGCTTACCCATCCCCGAGACAGCGTGTGGATTGGAGCAGGAAGCTTTGTGTCTGCTTTTATTCTAGCTCTCACAAAGTGCGGGCGGCTGAAAGAGCACAGGCAGGGATATCAAAGAGTGTGGGGCGACCCCCCTCTTTCCAACGGGACAACGCTGGGAGGAGAATTAGTCACAGACCCTCCCATCCATGGCTTTATTCGGCAACAGCAGAATGCTTTAGGAGTTGCCTGACTGGGAGAAAGGCGGCAATTGTGTTGTCTTTCTTAGTGTGTGTGTGTGTGTGTGTGTGTGTGTGTGTGTGTGTGTGTGTGTGTCAGACTTTATACCCCTTTTTGCACTCAGGAGTAGGCGTGACGTCTTTGTCTTTAGTTTGATGAGAACTTCAATTCAAGCTGCTTGCAAGGGTGGGTAGGAGGGGTTGTGTATTTCTGCCAGCCTGTGGAGAGAAACCGTGTGCACGTGCCAATCAGTCTGTTTGTCTTTGTCCGTTGACTGTTCTACGGTGCGAGGTGTAGCAAGAGGAGTCATCTTGCCTTGGAGGGTGTTTGTTTTGGTCTGTGTGCTGTTGAGCAAATGTGAAAAGGTTACACTTACTGTTTGGACACTTGAAAAAACAAATGTCCACCTTTTGCTGTGGGCTGACAGGGCTCACAAAGTAGCGCAACTGTTTGTTTCATCTGGTAAAGGAAACAAGATGTTCTGAGAAGTGTCTTTCACACATGCCTTTTGGCATTACTCATATTTGCTTATTTGTATAGTTGTATCTAGTTAGAGGTATTCTTGGAAGTCCTCTGTGGCCTTTCTTTGAAATGTGTCATCAGAGGGTCATATAGGAGTATTTGCTCATCGCCAATTTACATTACAGGAAGGGATGATGCATCGGTGTGTACGCTGAATCCAAGAGGACATCTTTCAGGAATGTGTACGGAAAATGTTGTTTTCAGACTACAAAGGATTCTTAAGATGTGTTCTCTTACATCCCTCCACTCAGTCTGAGTCACATTCACCTCAACCCTTTCCTCCTCCTGTTTTGTTGTTAACCTGTCTCAAGGTAGAAAAACCTCAACATTTTAAATCAATTTAGCCCTTTTTATTGTTATACTGTAATATAAGATTTCATCACAGTAGTTCATTTTGTGTTATGTTTTAATGTTCTGGTGAATGTTAATGAAAATGCAGATACCACTGTTCTGTTTGCGTAAAAAGGTCACTTTCTTTTTACTAAGATTTATGCATTAATGGTTTGTTCTTTATTCTATTATAGTATAATTGGGATGTTGATCCATAAATGGAAACTTTAAAAAAAGTGGATCACACTGCATCATCCGTTTACAAGGGGGGATTCGTGGCTTGGGGTGTGTGAGGCAGTTTGGTTGTGGGCGAGGCAGGTGTCGCATACAGTAACTGCTGGGCCTGGGTTTCCAGTCAAACTCAAAACATTTCATTACATCGTATCTTGTACATTCATTTATGTTGGCCCTAACCTTGTTTCCATACAGTTATGTTTTGTGTACAAACCCCCTAATTCTTATCACAAGAAAATGCATCTCTTTACGGATTATGAATATTTTCCTGGAGCACTAGAGAGACGGAAATGCATGAAAGTTAAATGTAATAATAACTTTTCTTAATGTTGCCAGTGAATGTACTGTAGTAAGGTATTGCTAATTAGCTGCAATGGTATTGCAGCGGAAATGGTCGGCTGATTACGATAAGAGGTTTTTTTTGGTTTATAAACTTGGTTTTATCTGCTTCCGTTATTTGGTCAGTTTTGAATCCTCTGACTCCATGAGCATCTGCATGTTAGAGCTGTGTGCACATACCTTTCTTATGAAGACTAACTGTGATTGTTACTGTAAATGAGTCTTAATCAATCAAAGTCTTATATTCCGTCATTAAAAATGAAGTTGCATTTCAGAAAACAACTTGTTAAGCAAAAAGTAACTCTTAGGTTAAAGCAGGGGTGTCAAACTCAACTCGCCTTGAGTTTGACACCCCTGGGTTAAAGCAAGGATTATACCATAATAATCCTGAATCTGGAAAAACGAATTGCCTATAACCAGTTTGATTTCTCCTAAATGTTACCTTGAAAGACAGTAAAAGTCCTGTTAGCTTTCTCAAAGTGAGAAAATGCTGTGAAACGTTATATAGATTCACATCCGTCTCAAACCTTCAGGGACAGTCCCTGACTTCTGCATCATGTGCTCGTGTGGCTTCCACAATGACTCCGATCGGTTTACTTTTATTAATCTTTTAGTGATTTAAATAAAGTATTTTTGACATTGATCAGTAACATGAGATGGGACAAATCAGCAGGAGGTGAAACAGCTCAGGGTTTCATGCTGAGACTGACAGCAAAAGCCAGCAAATGAAGAAGAACCACTTGAACAATTTTTGCGAAAATAGAAAGAAGCAAAGAGAAACCGTGGTCCTTAAGTAACCTTTTAACCCGCAAGGAAAAGGAAGTACATGAACCTTACCTTGCTAGTGTACTACAGTGTTTACTTCTTAAAGTTCCCTCCCTGTGTCTGCCCTACAGCTCATGGTGACCCTGGTGTTTCACACGCTGCTGCTCTGTGCTCAGCAGCCAGTGGGCGGGGTGGCAGCGCGCGAGCAAGCAATGAGTGACTGACTGAATATGTGTTTGGGAGCATGGCAGGGAAGGAAAGAGGAGGCTTGTAGTGTGTGGGAGGCCTGTTTAGATTGGGATTTGGCAAGCTTCTGCATGAGCATGTTGAGACCGTTGAAACCCCAAGCCCCTTTCATCCTCAATGCTCCCAGGAGACGACTGCGCTTCCTCTGTTGTTGATGGTGCATGTGGTCAAGATGCTGCTTCCTTGTCTCTTTCCCTCCTCTCCTCTTCACCCTCCTCCCACAGTCCTCCTCCTCCTCTTTTCACTCATGTTTGCCTCGCCTGTGCTCCCCTCCCCCGCATCCTCACTCCTATGTTCTGCTTGTTTACATCTTGCTGTGCAGTTCACGCGCAGGGTATGCAGGTTTTTTTTCTTCCTCCAACCGTGTGGCACGTGTAGTTGACAGATTCAGGAGGTACATGTGCGCATGTATCAGTGTGTGTGCACACGGACCTGTGCAGCCAGCTCAATACATGCTGTGATGTCATTGACGGTTACTCGCACTATTACAGCGAGTCAGAGCTGGCCATTGGTACTCCGCCCCCCTCCGCTCTGCAACAACCCCAACCAAGAGCAGAAGCTTGCTCGGAGAGGAGGGGATGCTGGTAGTATATTGAGGAGAGGGGAAGAGGAGAGAGAGGCCTAAGGAGATGAGGAGTAGTTGATGCTGACATCAGTATTGCCTGCCAGTATAAACAGCAGTATGGACTGTCTGTTATTGTTGTTTGTTTATATGTACAACAGATGAAAGACTGCAGCTTTGTAGCATACATTATTGGTTTTAATATATGTATTAATTAGATTCCAAAGTGAGCGTGTTTCAGACACATTTAAGAATCAATTATTCACATTACAATGTGTGTAAGTCGTAGCTGGTACAAATCAGTTTGCATGTGCACACACACTGGCATGGACTACACTTTGGATAGCAGCTGCTCTACAAACTGGGCCAACGAGACCTCCACTGCATCCCCACACGCTTCTATAAATAAAGATGATGAAATGACATGCTCACCTCCACTCTTAAACACAGACTGATTGCAAGAAGGATCAGCATACTGAAGATTTTGAATCATCCTCCAGTGGTTTCTCTGTTGCATATTTCAAAGCTTTACTGAAGTATGAGAAGAACGATGGAGTCACTGTAGATACCACTTTTACAGTTTTATAAAAAAATGTTCCCCCACCATCATCAAAATTACTTTAGAAAGTGAAATGTCAAGTGCAACTCATGTTGTATTTGCTTACATTTGTTTCTGGAGTATAGTATGTGTTGGTTGTGCAAGAACATGGCACCTCATTGATTACACATCCTGTTACATCTGCCATGTGAGGTTCTCACATGCCTATTGACACATGATTAGTTCCTAGGACTAGACAGATGGGCGATTAGGCTTTGTTGGTGTTTCTTTAAACATATTTGATTCCACTGAGGTGATAAGATACCATTCACACAGAGATACTTTTATGAGGAAATCTTTAAACCCCATGTGTTTCAGTGGAAACTGAACTGATTCATAAAAGGTCAAACTGTCAAAATATAGTATAATAAAGTATAATATCCGGCCAACTATTTGAGGAATGGACTGAATGACATTTGGTATAGACATTCTTGGTGACTGAAGCATGACTCCTCATGTCTTTGGTGATGCCCTTTAAGTGAACGTAACTAACAGGACAGTCATTTCCTTCCGTTTGAAAAAATCTAGAACTAATGAACGGTCCTCTCAATTTCTTGGGAAATAAACCGTTGGGGTAATGTTAGGATAGTAACCAAAGTAACAGTTAAGTGTAGATGCTTTTAGAAGTTGTCAAAGCTGAGCCACATTTAAGTATAACCAATTCTTAGTTTTGACATCCATCCAAGTTTCTCACTGTACATAGGATAAACCCTTTACATCTAGGCAACAGTGTTTCCTTACCTCTGGTGGTAAGCCGCAAGCCTTACATGTTTGGCCTCGCGAGTAAAGCTCATAAGCTGATAGTTAATAAGCATTAAAACCTCAGACTGCTCTACAGTAAGAATATAGGCATTTTTTTCTTTCCTTTCTTTTTACTCTAGCTGTCTTTAGAGCTGTCTGTGTAAGATCAACTACCATAGCGTTTTACTGTTCACTCAGGGAGCTGGAACACAGTGCAACGTGTTAGACACCAAGTTAGATTTGTCCTTTCGGTTGTGGTTTGAGCCTCCTTTAAGTGCAAGCATGTCATCCCAAAAGCCATTGAAATGTGTGAGCACCAGAGAAAGCAAGCAGGTGAAACTGAGATTCAGGACATAATTCGAGCCCGTAGTTTGGTTTTCATTTGAGTCACTTCAAAAATGACTCAACCGTTGCATACCTAGGCCAACTTCAAGCTTACTTTGTGCCATGATTGATGCTGTAAATTTGACTTGTTAACCAACATTGCTTGTTGCCTGTATTTTAGCAAAATGATATGGTCGCAAAACATTCATAATCTTCTTTTTATTTCTAGGAAGAAGCATTTGGAGGATTTGCACCGATTGCTGAGCAGGAAAGAATACAGAGCCCTTCAACACCCCCATCAGGTAAAGTGACTTTACTCTTCTCTTAAGATGCCTACGCACAAACAGGTTATTTAAACATGCTTACTAAATGGACTCTGTTTGTTCTCTGTTTTTATCAGATACCCCACCCATACAGGAAAAGAAGCCTAGAGGACGTCCCCCACGGGCTCTGTCTACCCTGAAATGTGCTGCAAGTCTACCTTCCTCCTCGTCCCTTCCCTCTTCCACACAGGCAAAACCTGATGGCCCTGACAGGCCAGCTGAGAAGGTAAAAAGGCTGCCTGGGAGGCCACCTGGCACTGGGGAAAAGAGAAGAGGTCGACCTCCGTCTTCAAGTAGCAAGAAAGCTTGGAGTGCAGGCGGCCATGCAGCAGGGGAGGACAGTAGAGCAGCTGGGTCTGAGCTGGGCATGGACACAGAGGAGGAGAAGGACAGAAAGGGCTCTGCCCAGCCACATGACACAGAGGCAAAGCTCCCCAAAGGTGGGCGGGGTGAATCCAAAGTTACAAACCTGAAGAGGCTGAGAGCAACCAAACTCGCCCCTCTCAAGTCACGGCTAAAGACTTTGCCTGGTGTACCCAGACGCAGACGCGGGCGACCGCCCTCAGCTGAACGTCTGAAAGCTGAAGCAGCAGCTGCTGCTGCGGCACAGCTGTCTACCTCCATTGAATATGGAGAAGGTAAACAGAAGGCCTTTAGAGGGGATAGAGGCACAGAAACACACGCTCCTCAGGAGCCCATGCTGAGGAATGTGGGTGATGCTGAGCACCAGGACTCTTCCAATCCACCTGCCTCCCCGTCTCCCTCCAAGCCAGGCAAGACAGTGGGCCTCAGAAAAAGCCCCCGCCATAGAAAGCCTGTCAGGATTGTCCCCTCTTCAAAACGCACTGATGCAACCATTGCCAAACAGTTGCTGCAACGCGCTAAGAAAGGAGCGCAGAAGCGTCTGGAGAAAGAAGCTGTAACCATCGGGGGGAATGGGAGAGGAACTATTGACACTGGCATCAGGAAGACGCAGCTGAAGAACATTAGGCAGTTCATCATGCCTGTGGTCAGCACCGTCTCTCTTCGCATCATCAAAACCCCCAAGCGCTTCATTGAAGATGAGGGCAACTTTGGAACGCCACCACCCCAAATGAAGATAGCACGGTTAGAAGCAGCCGCCTCATCTATCGCCGCCTCTGCCCAACCCACCTCCACCCCCTCCTCTACACCGTCTCCTGCACTGGTCTCACCCACACCTGCTTCTACGAGCAGCGGCACCACGGCTCCCATTGACTCCCTCCCCCCTCCTCCACCTCCTGCCCCGATCCCCGCTGTTCCATCAGCATCCGCTAGTCTGCTCAACAGCAACACCAACAATGGCGCCAACGGGCGGTTTAGCAGCAGCGCGGCGTCTTGCGGCTCCAGCGCTGTGTCGCAGCACTCGTCCCAGCTCTCCTCTGCAGAGTCTTCCAGGTCCAGCAGCCCCAGTTTGGATGATTCATCGTGCGACTCCCAGGCTTCTGAGGCCACGCAAGCTTTGTCAGAGCAAGAGGATCACTCTCCCTCCTCCCAGGGCGAGAGAGAGGCCACCCGTTTACACAGCTCACGGCCTCCCTCTCCGCCCTCTGAGCCGGAGCCGGAGCGTGAGCGCGTGAGGATGGAGAGGAGTCGACGAGGGCGGAGGGGACAGATGATGGGCCGGGGGAGTCAGATCCAGAGGGTGAGAGAGCCTCTAACCGCTGGGGCTAAAAAACCCATCATCAGCCCACCAACAGGAGTGCTGTTGTCCTCTTCTTCACTTGTAAATTCCCAGCAAGCCTCATCCACAGCCTCCTCGTCTTCTTCACCTCCGCCTCCCCCTCTCCTCTCCCCTCCACAGCCTCCCCAGTCAACTTCCTCCAATACAGCTGCAATCAGTGAACACCACTCGCAGTCCCCCTGGATGACTCACCCCATGCCTCAATTCATGTCTGGACCGTCAGTGCTGTCCGGCTTGTCGGACAAACGAAACCGCTCGATTTTGAGAGAACCCACCTTCCGCTGGACGTCCCTGTCCCACCCTGAGCAGCAGTACTTTTCCTCAGCTAAATATGCCAAGGAGGGCCTCATCCGCAAGCCCATATTTGACAACTTCCGCCCCCCACCTCTCACACTTGAAGACGTCGGGCTGTTGCCCCAAGGAGTGAGTGGAGCAGGGGGAGCTGCTCCAGCGGTGTTCCCCGCACAAGGCAGCGGAGCAGGAACAGGGACTCGACTATTTGCCCCTCATCACTCACACACCCACCACCAACATGCCTCTTCGTCCCGCTTCGACGCTCCACAACAGAAGCGGAGCCCGTTGCTTCGTGCTCCACGGTTCACACCCAGCGAGGCCCACTCTCGAATCTTTGAGTCTGTTACCCTTCACTCCTCTTCTGGAAGCAGCCCTGGCTCTCTCTCGCCGCACCAGACGTCCTCGAGCTCCCACAGAAGCTCGCGGCGCAGGAGGCGGCTCATCTCTCTAACACCACGCAGTCACCCACGGTCTCCTTCCCACTCAATGACCAGACGCAGCAGCCATGGAGGCCCGATATCTATGGGGAAAGGTTCCTCGGAGATGTCTGCGCTGTCAGGCTCCGTCTCCTGTAGTAACCCCAGCTCTTTGCCAGGGGTTTCTGCAAGTTCACTAGCCACTAGTGCCTTAACTCCTCCTCCTTTCAGCACCTTCTCCACAGTATCAATGGGTCTGGCCCCACAAGGGACACCTGATAGCAGGAGAGGGGCTGCCGGGAACGCGCCTCCTTTGTCAACCACATCATCCACTTCTTCCCCACTTTTCCCTCTCTTTCCTTCCAGTGCCCAGGACACAGGGCGAGGAGCTGGGAAAGGAGGTAAAGAAAAATGTATTTCTGCTCCCCAGGAACCTGCTTCAAAGGACAAAGAAAGGGACTCCGAGAAAAACCGAGAGAAGGAGAAAGAAAATAAGAGGGAAGGGAGAAAGGATTTTGAGAAGAGAAGTAAAGTTTCTCCACCAGATGGCTCCCCCAATGCACCTTCCAGCCTGTTCACTGTTGATGGGAGGGACGAAGATGCCCTTTTATATATTGCTCCCAAAAAGGCTCCAGGTAGAAAAAAGTCTACGTCAGTTGAAACGGTTTCTGACACTGCTTCCTCAGAGGTGCGCGTGCCCCATTCCACTGTTCCTATCTCCATTGCTAAAGGACGTCTATCCAAGAAAGTCAGACCCTCTGAGAAAGGAGTCGAGGCGGAGGAAGAGGAGAAGGAGAAAGAAAAACAAAGTGCTCCTAGCCAGCAGACAGCAAACCTTCCAGGGCAGCCAGGCAGACAACAGCTCCCTGTCTCCTCTCTAGGATCAATGTTGGCACAAGCAGAGAAACAGCCTGTGACCGACAAGCGTGTAGTTAGACTACTAAGAGAGGCCAAAGCCCAGCTCTTCGAGATAAAGAAGAATAAGCTGAAGCCTGCAGAGCCGATGAAGGGCCAGGTCAGTTTCTCTGTTCATGTCTTGCTGTCATAGTGATTGTGTCTCCTCAACAAAGCTTCTCTGTTTATCTCGTTCTCTTCATAATGCCAAAAGCAAGTGACTTTACACGATGCTTTGAATAATCTGTGTTTGTACTCAAAGTGAAACTTGATAATAGGAAAGTCCCACAGAGGGGGTTACTCAAGGGGAATTCTGTAGCCTCATACATTATGCAGAAAGCAGCATGGGCTGTTCTTTTTAAAGTATTTTCCAGAATATACTCATCTAATCTAAATATTAGATAATTATAGGCAGTATTCGCACGTTTTCAAGAAAAGAAAAATTCCCTGTCCCAGTTGACTCACGGCCTCGACTTTGTATCGCCTCCGTCAGCTCATTATCATCATCATCCACACACAAACAACAAATTAAAATGACATCCTAGGGACATAAACATAACGCTAAAATGTCGATTTGTTGCATTGCACATTTGTGGTGGTGTATGTTTGTCTCCGTATTTTTTGATATGATGAAGTTTCTTACTTTTGTTGTGCTACTTGTGTGCAGAGTCAAGAGAGTGACTCTTCAGAGGCCTCGGTCCGGGGTCCACGCATCAAGCATGTATGTCGTCGTGCAGCTGTGGCTCTTGGCCGTAACCGGGCAGTGTTCCCTGACGACATGCCCACCCTTAGTGCCTTGCCCTGGGAGGAGAGAGAGAAGATCCTATCTTCCATGGGGAATGATGGTGAGGCACACTCAACTTCATTCTTATTTGACCTGCATGTGGATAACAACCTCTTGGCTGTGACCCTTTGGCTTTTTTTTTTTGAACTTTATTTTTTTGTTTCAAACAATAATACAGTCAAACATATCTTTCAGTCACATTTTCAGTTTTTCCAGTTGTATCAATACAATCCTTAATAGGTTTCAAGTATTAGTCAACCAGTATCAGAGTACCACTCCACGGCTAAAAAAAGAAAAAAAGAAAGTGTAATAAAGATTGCCTACCTTAGAAAATAGACCCTTTGGCTTTTATATAAAACACTTCATATAATGACAGTACAGGAAAACATTTTAAAGATTTGAAATTATAAAAATGAAAACCAAACTAC